CGAGCCGAACTTGGTTTCATCTTCGTGCCGGACTCCTGCATGAGAGCAGTCCAAAATGCCGACATGAAGCGAGTGTCGCGGTCGCTGACTATGTCTTCTGGTACACCGTGGCCACAAATCCAACCGGTGTGCAAGAGGCGTGCCAGCTCGGGAGCCGTGGAGTAGTACTTGCAAGGGAGAAAACGCGCATACTTACTCAAACGGTCCACAACCGTGAGGATGCCGTCGTGCCTGAGGCGATCGCGTGGAAATGGTCCGGTGACATCCATGGCAATGGAGAGGCCGGGTACCCGTGGGATAGGCATCGGGGCAACTCGCCGTAGGGGTTGCTATTGCGGGGCTTGCTTCGTCGGCAAACTTCGCAAGAGTCGCAATGCCGAGTGACATCGAATTCGCATTTGTCACGGTTGGCTTTGTACTTGGTTTGTCGTAGCCGCTCCAAAACGGTGCGCAGGTGTTCCACATGCTCGTCCAAACTCCGGCTGTACACCAGGATGTTGTCGAGGTAGATAAGTACAAATCGATCCAGCATGATGAGGTGTTCCACATGCTTGTCCAAACTCCGACTGTACACCAGGATGTCGTCGAGGTAGATAAGTACGAATTGATCCAGCATGTGTCGGAACTCCGTTGTCATAGCCGCTTGGAAAGTGGCCGGGCCATTCGTAAGGCCAAATGGCATAACCAGCCATTCGAAATGCCCATATCGCGTCTTGAACGCGGTCTTGTAGCAGTCCTCCTTCCGAATCTCGAGTTGGTGATATCCCGACTTGAGGTCCAGCTTGGAGAAGAACTTGGCCGCCCAGTCGCTCGAGGAGGTCGTCGATGCGTGGAAGAGGGCCGGCGTTTCTGATCGTTTGCGCGTTGAGCTTGCGATAATCGATGCACAATCGCAAATCCTTGTTTTTCTTCCGGACGAAGAGAACGGGAGCACCGTATGTTGCTGAGCTAGGCCGAATCCAGCCTTTCTCCAGAAGGTCGTCGAGTTGTGCCCGTAGCACACTTAACTCTTCCTCGCTCATTAAGTAGATGCAACCACGCGGAGGTACAACCCCGTCCTCGAGGATGATCTCGTGGCGGATGGGCCTATCCGGTACTACTCCGTGCGGGCCTTCGAACACGTCGCCGTAGGCGTCGAGAAACTCGGTGATGCGTGGGTCCGAAGATGAGTCCGTCGGTGAAGCGTCATGGGGCGGGAGGGCGTGGAGAAAACACACCCCCATCTCCTCGATGCCGTCTCTGATGATGGAAGCTCGCATGCTTGCGGCGGACACCACGTGGCAGCTGATCGAAGGGTGAGGAGGAGCTACCGTGCATGGGACTAGTACTCTGTTCCGATCACGAACGTGAACGGAGCGGCGGTAGAAGTTCACCGGGTGATCCTCGCTTCGCAGCCATGACATGCCCAAGATCATGTCGAATTTGGTGTCCAAAATATCGAAGGACACCGCCTCGCTTGATTGCGGGGCAAAGTACACGGGGACTTCATCTATGCAGCGGTCTATTGACTTGTGCGTGTGACCGTCTGCCAACGTGACTTGCGTCGGCTGGGACTTCCTCTGGACGCGTGGGCCAAGGCCGGCGCGTACCATAAAGTCCTGGCTCATGTAGTTGCGAGATGCTCCGCAATCGATCAAAGCGCTGCAGGTCGCCTCTCCTATCTGAATGCGTACATATAACAATGGTGTGTCGATGTCGTCGTACCGTTGCGTCTTGAACTCGCGGTCGATCTTCGCAATGTAGGCGTGAAGGTCGACAACCTCTACTCCGACGTCCATCAACGGAGTTGGTACTGCAGTGTGCAAGTAATCCTGCAATTGTGTCATGAGCACGTTGCAATGCGGTTTCGGCAATCGATCGGACCGGGGAAGGGGCATCCATTGGAAGTCCGCAAATGTCAATGGGTCGAGCTCTTCAAGTCTTGACCATGACGTTGAATCCCCGACGGTAGATGGCAGCGAAGCTGTCGAATCGGTTGCCGATGGTGATGAAACCGTGCATGCGGTAGATTGTTGCACATGGAGCGGTTGGTCCAGCGGTGGGACCAAGTGGACAGCATAGTCCTCGTAAGCATACCGAGAACTTACGACATTCGCATCCTCCCCAGATGTGTAGGAGGCCGCTAGCAAGGCGGCCTGATCTGGCGGAGTGGGAGGTGGAGTCGCCTCACCTACCGCGGAACTCAGTTTCCCGAGTTGATACGAGCCCGAACATCCTCCTTGCCCTGATCCTGGCAGAGGGAGGTCTTGTGCTTGGTGCTATTGCACCAGTAGTAGCAGCCGTAACGGCCGCAGTACTTGTACTCGGCCTCGGTCAAGTGAAACTTGACCCATGGTGCTGGCTGTCCGTTTCCGGCCGGCGATGCGGTTTTCGCCTTCCCGTTTCCTCGGGACTTGTTGTTGCTTCGGGGTTGGACAGCAGCCACCTGATCTCCCTCGCGTGACGCTTGGGTGGCTGCCGGGTCTTCCACAATGTTGTTTGATTGGACTGCAGGGACCAGTTTTCATCTTCTCCACATAGGTTGGCTGCCACGTTGACTTCTCGTGTGCAGCCGCCCTGTTGGTCTTGATGATCTCCCTCCCCTTGTGAATGATTTCAGCGAAGGTTGCATATTGCTCGCGATCACCAAGTGCAAGGCTCAATGCAACACATGACCTGTTGTCGAACTCGCGGCGTAGATGCGA